GGGAAATGCTGAGAGCTGGAAGTCAAACACCTCTTTTCAAGTGGTCAAAGCCGAGAAGCGCTGATGTTCAAAGCATGCCAGGGCAATCCCGTTATCCTATTCTAGGTGAAGAAGCTCAAGGAGGCTTGTTGTGAATCTGTGGCACCCACCGCACAGTGTGCATTTTCGGAGCAATGCAGCTTGATTGCTAGGCTGAGGCTGTAAATGGGAAGAACCCACTTGCAAAAGGAATCGCAACCAGGCAGATGTACTTTCACAACTTACCCAGATGGCTTAAAGCAGGGGTCACCAACCCTTTGGACCTGAGGGACCACCAAAACTCAGACCAGAAGCCCTGGGGAAAACCCCCAAAAAAGTCTGCAGGAAAATTCCTACCCTGTTTTCCTACCAATCGATCATTCTTTATTTGGGATTGCAGGATACCATCTCCAGCTCTGTTCTCTGGGGAGGGGAGAGAGAGACTTTTGGCTTCATGCAAGGAAAGCAGCAGAAGCAGCAGAAGTCTTTGTTTCTCTCCCCCAAACTCCTCCAGAAAGGAGTCTTTGTGAGACTTACTGGCACAGCCTTTTGAAGCAAGGATGCCTTGCAGGGTCCCAAAGACTCATTTCTGGCGGAGTTTGGGGGAGAGAAAGAAAGACTGTTGCTGCTTTCCTTGCATGCAGCCAAAAGTAGAAGCGGAAAGAAGCAGAAAGCAGCCCGGTGGCCAGGTGAGGTGTGTGGGGCAAGTTCCCCCCCTCTGCGCTTTCCCTCCTCCCCGCACTACGTGTTGTTCTCGCAATGCAAGTGACGCAAACCTTGTGTTCCGGGACAGCCTGGATTAATTGCTTTGGGGGGTGTTTTGGGAGTGACATTTCTCTGTGGACCACCATTTTCTCATGGACCACCAGTGGTCCCTGGCCTACTGGTTGGTGACCACTGGCTTAAAGCCTGTCTTTGGTAAAGACAAAAAGGAAAAAAAACCTGACAAGCAGTACCAGAGCTAAGGAAATTTGGGATTCCCCCCCCCCCCCACCCACCCATTCATCCTCAAAGGGTCCCACTCTGGGATTATTCTTCGAATATGTCTCAAACCTCTTCCAGTTCCTTTTTATAGTCTGGCTCTCCTTATTACCATCTGGGCACCAAACCAATTGTCTTCCACGGCAGGTTAACGCTAAACTTTTTAAAACAGTCATGGCCAGAGAATCCCAGTGTTATCTTCCGCCTCCAGGAGAGAAGGCGGTTTCAACATGTTCCTTACTTGGTTATTTTAGGCTTATCAACAGCCCTGGAGCTGGTCTCCTGTGTTAAATAAGAATCCCTTTGGGGGAGAACAGATAACCTTCTATAAATAGGAAGGTAGACAGTGCTTTGTCCCTGCTTCCATTTTTCGGGGAGTGTTGTTGATTCGTTATGTAATTCATTTCACGGAGGAGGTTTGCCTGTTTTGTGGGATCTGGGTTTTTGTTTTTCCAAAACACAGGCGTTCATTATTGTTATTATTTGCCCATCAGCCGTTTCTCAAATATGGAATATTGGAAGGCAGGTTGTCCTAAATGGAGAGAACTCAAGAGCTCAGTTCATTTGGTTTAAAATTGGCTTTAAATTTGGTTAGAGCCAGTTTGGTCTAGTGGTAAAGAAATCAGCCTAGAAAGCTAGGGGACTGAGAGTTCTAGTCCCACCTTAGGCGTGAAAGCCGCCTGGGTGACTTTGGGCCAATCATCAGGAGACACTGAGTCCTAGTCCCACCTTAGGCATGAAAG